CTCAGCCACACACGTAATTACCGGTAGAGCCCAGACGTCCTGATTGCCCTCCCTACACCTTGGCCCTGCCTGGCCAGCCCCAGGCCTGGCTGAAGTAGGAAGGTGAGCCTCTAGAAGGCAGTCCCAGTCAGGTGTAAAATAAATGACTGTCCTTGCTTCGAGAAAGGATGACCTCCTCACCAAATCCCAACGCGCCCTCCCTTGAGCTCCCGGCAGCACCTGATGCCCTCAACCAACTTCATTTTCTTCTGAGACCCCCTCTGCCCGTGGCTCCCCCGCTGCAGCTCTCCCCTGCCTCTCCCTCCTTCATTCCTTGCCAGTCTTGCTTATCTGGAGCTCTCCTGCCATCAGCATGGCTGCTCCCCAAGGGGCCCCTGCCACACTACTTCTCCTTCTCCCATCTACAGAGGAAACCGTTTCCCTCCTCTACACCCCTTTGCTCTGGGAGCTGTCCCCAGTTTCCTCTGGAGAGTCACCCTTTCCAGACCTGCAGTCCATGTACCTTCATGGATAGGACACATGATTCATGCCTCGCCAACCAGCACATTCCAACTCCCTCTGACCCACTCAGTTTATGAGATGTGAGGGCCTGCTGCTGGGGTGGCTGGGCGAAAGACGGCTCCCCTCTCCGCCTGGATTTGAACCTGCAGCCTCCCCTAGCCATCTCGAGGGGAGAGCCTGAGACAAGAGCAGCTAAGAAAATGAGTCCCAATAGAATCGTTTGAACCTGGAACCCATGCCTGAAGCCAGACATGCTCCTGAGCTTTTTAGGGATGGGAGCCAGTAACTTTCCTTTCTGCTTCAGCCAATGTGAAATGGATCTTCTACTCCTTGGAAAAGGAAGAGTCCCACTTGATACCCAGCATCTCTCTCTCTGCACTCTCTCTATACCCACTTGAACAGTGATGACTCGAAAATCTCCATCCAGATCCCGGACAACCCTTTGGAGCTCCAGATTCATATCCGCCCACCCAGTGGATGTTTTCTCCCACCTGTCACACCCAGGCACCTCAGCCAGAACATGTGCAAAATGGAATTCATCATCAATGCTTCTACCATCTCGATATGCTAGTCTTTGTGTTTTTCACCACCCTAGAAAAAGCATCACCCCCCGGCCCAAATCACGCAAGATAGAAACCCGGGACATCAGAGAGCATTCTTGCCAGGTAATCCTGATGGGGCTAAGACCCCGACTGCCATTTTCTGAGTGTGTGACCTTGGGGAGATGAATGAACATATCTAAGCCTTGGATTTTCATATGGACTTGCTTGTTTCTACGAGATGCTGTATGTGAAGCAATCAATGTTGGTCGGTCGGTTCCATTCCTTATCACAGACATCTAGTGTATCCCTAAATTCTAACTCAAAACTTCATGGTCACTGCCATTACCCTTGCTGGCAGCCTCCCCATCTTTCTCCTTGATGACTACCAGACATTTCTATCTCGTCTTCTCACCTTTGGTCTCCCCCACTCCCCCCCAGAGTTGCTGGACCATTGACTCCTAACCAGCCTGGTCATACCCTGCCAGGCTCATCCACCTGCACAACGTGCTCATTTGCAAGTCCCTCCGCTGTGGCTCTCTAAACACCCAGGGCTATTCTCCAGTTTTGTGATTTGGCACAGCAATGTCCACTGAGAATGCCCGTTCTCCCTCTTCTCCCACCCAGGGGAGAACTCATCCTCAAGACTTGATGAAAAAAGTCCCTCTAAAAATGAAAGAAAATAGAGATCCCACATTGCCTAATGAGGCTCACAAATTCAAACCCTGCCTTCCCCGTTGTCCGAGAGCAGGGAACGTGGAAAAAGGCAAAAGAAAAGAAACAGCAATGTAAAATATTTTTTTAAGATTTTATTTGACAGAGAGAGAGAGAGAACACAAGAAGGTGGAGTGGCAGGCAAAGGGAGAACCAGGCTCCCCGCTGAGCAGGGAGCCTGATGCGGGACTCAGTCCCAGGACCTTGGGATCATGATCTGATCCAAAGGCAGATACTTAACTGACAGGGCCACCCAGGTGCCCCAATAATGTAAAATATTTTTAAATTAAAAAAAGCAAAGAAAGAATGGAGAGGAAAGAGAAAATGTAAGAATGGTTAACCTTGAGACAGGAGAGGGCTTCCTAAGCAGGACAGAAATCTTGAGGCCCACAGAAAAGTGATACAGATTCAGCCATGTAAAAAGTCATCACTTCTGCACATCACAGTAAGCAAAGCTGGGGAAGAAAACATAAAAGGCAAGAGATCTGATTTATTAACAAGAAAAGAATTAAATTCCAGAATTTAGAAAGAGCCTCAGGAATTGATGAAATCATAAACAACTCAACAGAAAAACTGGAAAAGGATTTCATGGGGCAATTTGAAGGAGTGTAAATCGATTAACTTTTTTTTTTTTTTTTTTAAAGCGTAAACTTGGGAGAACCTAAAATGCATAGTACTTTGATCGGGAATGGTCTCTAAGATGCAGGATAATTTTTTAAAACTCCATAAACAGAATAGAGTAGCAGAATGGTACGCTCCCATATTTAGAGGGAGAAAACAGAAGACATATTTTATTTGCCTACAGATGCACCGACTATCTCTAGATGAATACACAAAAACTGGAAAAATTAGTTGCATCCGAAAAGGGAAATAGAGGGCTGAGGTAGTAGGGAGGTGTTACCTTTTACACCCTTTGAATGTTGTGCTTCATATATACGACCTATCCCCAAACAAGTAAACCAAGTAAATAAATTCAATCTTTTTTTCTGCACAATCCCAGATCACAATAAACAAAGGGAATGAATTCTGCTTAAATAATTTTTTTTAAAGATTTTATTTATTTATTTGAGAGAGAGTGAGAGAGAAAGCACACAAGCAGGGGGAGTGGGAGAGGGAGAAGCAGGCTTCCTGCTGAGCAGGGAGCCCGACTCGGGGCTCATCCCAGGACACTGGGATCATGACCTGAGCCGAAGGCAGACAGACGCCACCCAGGTGCCCCTTCTTAAATAAATGGGGTTTTGTGTGTGTGTGTTTTAAGATTTTATTTATTTGAGAGAGAGTGAGTGAGAGAGAGAGAGCACAAGCTGGGGGGATGGCAGAGGAAGAGGGAGAAGCAGACTCCCCATTGAGCAGGGAGCCCAACCTGGGGCTCGATCCCAGGACCCCAGGATCATGACCTGAGCCAAAGGCAGATGCTCAACTGAATGAGCCACTCAGGCGCCCCTTAAAATAACATACTCTTTGGCTCACCAGCTTCACTGGTAGGAATAAGTTTTATCCAGAAACACTCTCATGTACACAGAGATGTGTGTTCACTATAGCATTATGTATAAGTGAGAAAGTTGGAATCAATCTAAGGGCCCATAAATAGGGGATCGTTTAAATGAATTATGGTGAATCTATACTATGAAATACTATGCAGCCATTAAAAAGAATGAAGTAGATCTATGTTCTTTGTTCTTTTTTTTTTTTTCTTTTAAAGATTTCACCTACTTGAGAGAGAGAGGGAACAAGCAGGAGGGAGCGGCAGAGGGAGAGGGAGAAGCAGACTCCCTGCTGAGCAGGGAGCCCGACTCAGGGCTCAATCCCAGGACCCTGAAATCATGACCTGAGCCGAAGGCAGACGCTCAACCGACTGAGCCACCCAGGCACCTCTCTATTTTTTTTTTTTTTTTAAGTAATCTCTACACCTAATGTGGGGCCTGAACTGATGATCCAGAGATCAAGAGTCACACACTCCACCAACTGAGCCAGTCAGGCGCCCCTATGTTTTTGATACTGGAAGACATCTAAGTCCCATTTTTAAGTCAAAAAAGTAAGTCAGAGAGCACACAATAATATATGACCCCCATTTATGTATTTTTAAAAGCATATTCAATATATTAAGGCTGGTCCGAAAGTTGGAAAGGCAGATAATATTTTATCACGTTTTATAGTGTAGTATCAATAAACTATGTATTACATATTCACCTGTCTTCCAGACTTGGTTGACATATACTCAGGCGCTGAAGAAGACCTAGAAAATACTATACTTACAGTGGTTCCCTCTCAGGTGAGGAGAGGGAATGAAGGAGAACTGGAGGGAATTTTATTTTCCTATACATTTCTCTATTTTCAAAAAATCTTTTATAGTTAACTCATGTTTTTTAAAAAAGTTACTACATTCTAGGCAGGCTTTGCATTATTTATCTCAGGTCACAGGTTTATAAATGGCGGGGGGTGGGGTGCAGGCTGCCTGACTTCAGATAGTGCTCTTGATGCAGGGCTCTCTCACCTGCTACTTGAGTAAAAACCAAACCCAAACCCAAATCTGATGTGCCTCCTTCTGTTTTACCCCAGCTCACATAGAAAACGCCTTCCTTTATGCTCCCAGCTTCCCTGAACAGATCTGCCCTGAATGCCTGCTGGGCCCGTAAATGGCCAAGGGAAAGACACCACCCGGTTGTAAGCATTCTTCTGGTGGAAGACTAGAATCAGATGAGATTAGCACTGGCTGAATGAATGAAGGCCTGAGTCATAAAGTCAACCCTTCCTCCAAACTCCAGGCAGCACCAACAGCTATCTCCAGTTTTGTTGATGTTTTTTGTTCTCAAAGAAAAACAGCTAGGAGATACCACTCCTCCCTTCCAGTCATGCTTTATTGCATCTCAGAATGACAAGTGCTTCCTAAGGTCTAACCCAGAGGCTGCAAGCTAGCAGTCTGCAGGCAACAATCAGCCTGCACACATAATTTGGTTGCTCTGCACATTTTGAAAACTGTTTTGAATTAGTTGCCATCTTTAAAAACATGGGATTTTTTTCCCATAAAAATTTATAGCCCCCACCCCCACCCCGCACAAACTCAGGTCAAGCAACAATGTCCTGGAGCACTGTTGTACCTGCACCTGGCTCTTTATAGGGAGGCATGCTCTCAGGCCCCCCTCCCACCAGTCCCCCCACCACCAGCCCTTCTGCCTGCCCTCCTCCTGCACGCAAGGCTTCCTGACTGGCCCAGGTAGCAGCAGAGTTTATACCACAGAACTGTACCTCCTTTGGTGGACATTTAGGTCAGTTCCAGTTCAGCCCATTCTGCCTTCCACGGAACCCAAACAAAGAGCTCAGCCCCTCTGACCACTGGGTCCTCCTTCGTCTGATACTCCAACCGCGCAGGGCTGCAACACAAAGAGAATGGTATGAGAGTACCTGAGGCCTTGGATTTAGTTTCTAAAATGCCAAGCAGGCCTCTTTTTGAGGGGTCCCTAATCTCCCTGCCGCGGCGGTAGAGCTCTGGGGCGGGGAGAAGTCCTGAGTTCAAGGACCCGCCTGTGTGAAAAGCATTGCCAAGCCCAAAGACCCTAGTTCAATCCTGGCTCCTGGGCGGAGTACTTACCTCTCTTGAGTCTGTTTTCCCACCTCTAAAACAGGCTAATTGCACTTCACAGGCTAAGTGAATGGAATTTTTAAAAAGTGTATATGAAAAGTGCTTATGATAGGTGTGGACTAGAACAAGAAAGCAGGCGTGCTTTGGAAGAAGTGACAGAAAGGGGTGACACAAATCCCAGTTAAAGAGAGGCGGACGAAGAGCCCGGGTCTGTGTGATCTGAGGTCCTCCGGCCTCCTCTTTCTGCTTGGAGGGCCTGGGAAATGCCTCTCCTCACCTGTCTCCATGGCTGCAGTATGATGGATTCTAAGGGAAAGCCACTTATTTCCCCATGCAGGAGCTCTCCCCAGCTCATTTCCAGGGCCAGGTCACAGGGAGAGAGGAGGCTGGCCAGCTGGGGAGGAGGCCCGGGGATGTGCGACCTCCCCAGCCTGCAGCACACTGAGATGGGCTTGCCCGAAGTTACCATTATCCCATCCCCACTGGACACATCGAGGCCCTAGGGTTGTTTCCCTCCAAAACCACACCACCTCCCTACTCCACAGTGAGGAGGATCAAATGACCTGCTCTTGAAAGGACTTTGCAAAAACGACTGAAAGGTACAATAGCGAACAAAAACAGCCGCAGACGTGTTATAAAGTGATGCCAAAGCGTGGCCGTGTGGTTACTGGAAAGCAGACCTCTCGGAAGCGCAGCAAAGCATCCCGGTCATCCAACAGACATTCTCACCTCACCTGCCTTTGTCAGAAGGTGCCACGGGGTTAAGCTCTGGCTCAGAAGGCTGGCCAAGTCCCCCCAAAGCTCACCGAATCTCCCTCTGGCAGATGTGAGGGGCGGAGGCGCCCACCCCGCCGCGCCAGGGGCTGCCCGGCGACTTCTGGGCGCACCTCTCGCCCAGGCTCGGGCAGACAGCGCCCTGAGCCCGACTGGGAGGATGAGGCTCACCTACCTGGTCCTCACGGATTCCAGCCGAGGGGCGAGGCCGCTTTGCACCCCCACCCCCACGTCTGTCCCCGAGCGCGGCGTGAGCCCCTTGCCTCGAGGGAGCACGGCCCCTATCAGCCGGGTCCCGAGCATGCACCGATGTTCTCCCTGCCCGGGGGCCTTAGAAAAAGGGGCTGCGGGCGACGCTGGAGAAATGGGGCGGGCCGGGGGGAAGGGCCTGTCCGAAGACCCTGGCCGCAGGGGAGGGACGCGCCCCCAAGATCTTCCCACAAAGAGCTCCGGCTCCCCCGCGGCTGGGAGCACAGCCCCTACCCCCCGCGGGGCGCGGAGAAAGAAGAGCGCCGTGGGGGCGGGGAGGCGTGGGGGAAGGGGCGCCGAGACCCTCCCCGCCGGCGCCCTTCCCCCTCGCCCCCGCGCGCGCGCCCGCCCGCCCTGCCCGGAACTCAGCCCGGCTCGGGCCCGGCCCGCGCGCCGCCGCCGCCCCGCGTCCCCCAGCCCGGCTCACCGCGCCGCCACCGCCGCTGCCGCTGCTCAGGGCCCCGGCCCGGCCGCCTCCCGCCTCGGCCGCCGCCGCTTCCTTCCTCCCGGCCGCGCTCGCGGACTGGAGGTTTCGGGTTTCAGGCCGCCGAGCCCCGCTTTGCTCCTCCCGCCGCCCCGCCGCCAGCACGCGGACCCGGGCGGGCGCAGGCTAAGTAACTTTGCGGCGCTCGCGCCCCTCCTCCGCCGCACCGCCCCTCCCCGCCCCCTGCGGCCCCCCGCGGCCCCCCGCGCCGCCGCCCCTCCCCGCTCCGGCGCGCCCCTCCCCAGCCCCTCGCCCCCCGGCTCCGCGTCTTCCCGGTTCTTCCCACGACCAGCCTCGCCTGCTGCTCTTTGTCTCGCCCTTACCGTGTCGGCTCGCCCCCACTCCGCGCCAGTGGCCCGTACTCGGGCCTTCCCTGACCCCCGTCGCTCCGTCCCAGTTCCAGCCGTTGGGACGTCCCCTTTTGCATTTCTCTCTCCTTCGCACTCGTACTTTCGGATTCTCCCCGTGGGCTCCGCACAGCCCCGTTCTCCTCCTCCTCCTCCGCCTCTCATCTCGCCCTGTACTCCTCCTGGCCTTGCCTTTCCTGCTCACCTTTCATTCATCCTACCAACGTCTAGGAACATCTGCCTGGTGCCAGACACCGTCCTGCGCTCTGGAAATACACAGGGAATCAACCGCGGAGCCAGCCTTTGAGGAACCCACAGCCCTCGAGAGTGGGAGGGTGAATGTAAACAGATCTTTGCAATGCTACTCTACTCTCCCTCTGAACCCCAAGGCCGAGGAGCGATAATTACAACACACAAACCAGGGCGCTGCCAGTTCAGAGGACAGAACAGTTCCTTTTCGTGTTTTTTTCCCCCTCCTCACTCCCCACGTTCTGTACCGGCCCTAGCCTCATGCAGCGGTCTAAAATAAGGGGAAGAAAAGTTGAAGCAAAAGGTGAACTGCAGGAGGGAGGGAGGAAGGAAGAGAAAACAGGGCAGGAGGGTGTCAGGTAAGAATTCACAAAGCCCAGCTCAGGAAACTCCAGCAAAAACTGATGCTGCACCCAGAGCGGGATGCAAATTCCTCTGAAATCCAACTGTTTTGATGAATGCATTAATTATTCCCTTATCTACGGATTGGCACTGTGGGAGCTGCTTCCTTATTGTTATTAGGCCACTGAAGCACCATTTAGAGCAATAATTTACTCTCTAGCACTTACCAAACACCTAGCTTGTCTTCAGGGACAAATGGGATAATGGGGAGGGGGAAAAAAAGTTAATGGATGCCTTAATATTCCTATGGGATAGATGCTTTATTTGGTCCAAAACCGGAAGCTGAAACTCCTCTCAGAGTCTAGGTCACCAGAAAGCCAGATGCTGAAGGAGCTTAAAGCAGTTTGTTCTCAAGATTATTTTAGACTTTTATTCTGAAATCCCTGGGTTGGGTTTGGTTTTTTGTGTTTTTTGTTGTTGTTGTTGTTGTTTTGTTTTTTTTTTGGTTTTTTTAATTTGCATTGACTCTGGCACTGGCTAATCTTTGTGACCCTGGGGGAATTATTTAACCTTTCTGAATCTCAGCTTATGTATAAATAAAAAAGGCATACTCATACATGCCTATCTGTTGAGTTTAAAAAGATGAAATAATGTAAGTAAATCACCTGGTGCCATAGAGCCTGAGAGCTAAGCCCTTTTTTTTTTTTTTTTTTTTTTTT